TGGCTGACCTTTTGTGAGAGAGGATGGAACTATGGTATAGCGGTAATTTGTGAAAAGTGCATGCTTATCATGGCAAGCTCCATAGCCATGGCCCATGGAGAGTCCAACCTAGTAATGCTAATTCATGTCACTATACCCATTCTAGTAGCACTATCCTCTTTTTCATCAGGAGCATGTCTTTTGCGAAGATAATGGGTCCCGATTTCCTAGTCAAGAGCAAGCCCACATCCAGATAGCTGAAATCCTGCTGCTTAGTGTAGTGGGGCCATTTGAACCAATGGAATTTATGGAGGAGCTGATTCATCACATCTCCACTGATTTGATGGACCCACTCTATTGTGACTTACTAGACTAAGCAACAGGATTTGAGACTCTGTTCAATAAAAGGGCTAACTCACAACACCATACTGCTGCTGGGAAAGTCCATTTCCCTTGAGCCATTGTAAGGATTTTGGCTAAGCTCACAGGGAACAAGGAAGCCTGAATGGGGTGGCAGATGACATCTTCAGCCTGGCAGATCCACTGGGGGATGGGGGACCCTCTGGTTTCTCACCACAAACAGACACTGCTAGTCTCGGGTTCTGACCTGTTTCAGCCACAGGTGGCATTCTGTGAAAAGCAACAGAATCCGGTCAGCAAGCACTCAATGTCCTTTTCTTTGGATGACGCTTCTGATTTGGTATTTGTTATTCGGGATAACCAATTAATGCTCCTAGAGCTCTAATTCCAGCTATCTATCTTCTGTTTCTATTTCTACCTAAGGACAACCAGATCTCATGCCAACTTACTTACTGATCTATCATCCTCTTCAGTAAAGAAAAAAAACAAAAAACAAAAAAAACCAAAAACAAAAACAAAAAACCTCCACAAAACTGTGTGTGTGTGAACCCACGAAAAAAGCCCCAAGTCTCCCACAGCCCCACCATGGACACCTGCTCAAACCTTCTCCCAGAGTGGCACCATCCTTCACAAGGTCCCTTTTGTCAACAGCACAGGAATGTTTAAAAAGGCTGCAGTGGCACTTGGAGGCATCAGCCGCTGTGATAGGAAAATTAATCCTATAAATCGTGGGAAGGATAGGAAACTGCGGCTCAAAATGCCCATGTCAGAAACCCCTCATTAGTTCCATGTTGTTACCCTTTGTGCCATTGCCTGCCTTAAGCAGCAGCCCTAGCTTGGCTGCGGTTATGTAACCAAGGGGGGAATCTTGCCTGCTCCTTCCTCCCCCCCCACCCTCCTCTCACAGCTGAATTAGAGTCTGTTACGTAAGACACTGCCGGACACATTCGCCTTCTCTCTCATTGTCACTGTTTATGCGGACATTGATAGGAATTAACCTGTGTATGCCAAATCCTCCAGCTTTCAAAGAGGCTTGAAGTGGGGGGGGGGAGAGAGAAGAATGGGGGAGTGTGAAAGAGGAGGAGTGGAAGAGGATGACTGTCTCATCTTCTCCTCCCCCAAATACCAGGGCTTTGGGCTTTGTGGCATTTGGCAGGTTTAAGCCGAGTTGACAATATGTTAATACCACCTGACAAAAAGGCCCTGGAAAGCAGGACCAGAACAAAAAACAGTGCAGGCAGCACAGGCGGTGTGGTTGTGTCTGTGTGTGTGTGTCTGTGTCTGTCTCTCTCTCTCTCTGTGTATGGGGTTGCCCCTACTGTTATGAGGAGGGGACCGGCAGGTAATGGGGCTAATGGTGGCACCATGGCAGACAAGAGGTAGAACGTAGCTTCTGAAAGGGATCTCAAAACAAGGTTGTAGTCACATAGTCAGGAGCTGAAGACATTTGCTCTGTGTTTCTTAACTTTAAGGCTACACTCATAAAGGTGCTTGGCAATTGTGGCTAGTGGACCGAGTGACAGATTAGGACTCTGGAGAACAGGGTTTGAGTCCCTGCTTGGTCATGAAAACTGACTGGGGGAGAGTAAGAGGTAAAACCACTCCTTAAACATTTCATTTACCATGAAAGCCCTTTCAGGGTCACTGTAAGTCAGTTCCAACCTGATGACACACATGCGCGCGCGCGCACACACACACACACACACACACACACACACACACACACACACACACGAGGTGACACACACACACACACACACACACACACACACACACACGAGGTGCTTACTTGAAAGTAAATCCCACTTGAGCAATGGCTCCCACGGTTAGGACCTGGGGTTAGGACTTGTGCCATTTGGCTGATCAGGGAGGGGAAGGTATTAAAGACCCATGTGTTAGTCATCTCCCCGATTATCTCAGCCAACTGGACTTAAGTCAAAAGCTGTGATTCCTGATGTCTTTTTCTTTACTTCGAAAGCAGCCACTGGGGGGCAGTGGGAGTTCCTGGTTTCATGGCAGAAAGGGCATTATCCCTCCCTGCACTGTTTCTCTAAAATGAAAGTGACTGCCAGAGATTGCTGTTAGTTTGTATTATGTACAATATGGGGGCCTGTCTATCATACACACCCTCAGCGGAATTAGCATTTCTGTGATTGAAGAAGCATAACAACAACAACAACAACAACAACAACAACAACAACAACAACAACAACAACAACAACAACAACAACAACAAGAAAAGAAGAACAACATGCTGTCAAGTCAATTTTGACTTAATTGCAGCCCTTTCCAGGGTTACCACCAGAAGTGGTTTACCATTCTTTTTTGGGGGGGGGCACTGAGTGACTGTGCAGCTTGCCCAGAGCTATACAGGCCGACTCTTCTCATGGGAGGCACATTGAACTCCCAGCCTCTCGTTTCAGAGTCAGATACCTAACTCACTGAGCTACTCAAGCAGCTCTGAATGCAGCTCCAAATGTTTCCATTCCCCCTAATGAGTTTAATAGCCCTAGTGCTGAACTACAAAGAAGAGGCATCAGGTAGTGATTTATACAACATAACATTGTTTTTAATGCACCTCCTTTAAATCTGCTATAAACACGGGCATACTTTGTGCTCAGAAAAGTCCTCCAGAGTATTGCTATGTTGTTATAGGCTGTCAAGTTGGAAGTGACTTATAGCAACCCTTACAGGACTTTCAAGATGAGATATTTAAGGAGTGGCTTTACCAGCTTTGCACTCCCAGTGAATTTCTATGGCTGAATGGGGATTCGAACCCAGGGCTCCTGAGTCCTAATCTGCCACTCTGTCCACTACACCACACATATTATCCACCTCCAGAGTATTAGCATTCAATATCATCTGTAAGAGAATCAAATAAAAATTTAGGTATTAACTCAGATATATTGACATGGAATTGTGGTGGGCTTATTAACTAGAGTGATGAATGGAAACTGCCAGGCTGAAATGTTTTCTCTAAGAAATGTGTGGGTGAGTGGGTGGTATTAGGCACACAAGCCATCAGGATACACAACAGATAGATTTTGTTACACTGTTATATTGTATACTCTGTCACTCCCCTCCCCATGTCTGTGTATGTGTACAGTGTTTGCATGTTACCATATTTTCTCATTTTTCTTAATTCCAGCATATTTCTTAAAGGAAACATTGGTGTTTCATATAAACTCAAATCCCATCACCAAACTCTAAGAAGGAAAGCCCAGTTTAACATTAACCATAGTTAGAGAGGATACTGATATGACCCTGAGCCATAGACAGGCAAAAGGAGGGAGAAGGAATTTGCACCCTTTCCTAAAACAGACTCCCAGTATGCATACCATGGCTGACACAGAGCCAGTGAGCTTAGCCGATACTTAGCCTGTGCTACTACAGAAGATCAGCTGTGACTGAGCATCACTTACTCCTGGGAGCCCCCTCCCTTTCTCTGCCTACCTAGATGCCAGAAAGTTGGAGGAAACCCAAACAGCACCAGGACTCTGCAGACGAGATGTTTAGCTTCTTCTCCATCCAGCCATAGTCCTAACAAAGAGGCTGCATCACTAACTTCCCCGCTGAAACACTTCCTTTGACAATGTTCACTTATGTTGTTTGCACTGTTCTGTATAATTGGTTCTTATAGGCTAAAGTTACACCCCCTGTTTACTAGGATCGCAAGAGGAGAGCCCACATTTCACTGCTCTGTGTTGACCTGGGAAAACTGGTCTAACATCCTGCCCTTTTCTAAAAGGAACTCACACATTCACCTGGCATTTTGATGAAAAGAAGGGAAGCAGACGTCCACAATGCGTCCTAGGCTCAGTATGTGCCCTCCCAGGCTGAACGTCCCACTTTTGACTCTGCAACCATGCCCCCACCCCGGCAAAATCCTTCCCCGATTCCCCCGAAAGATTTGAATGAAAAACATATTATCCTGGCATAGGTCCCGAGGCTCTTGATTACTGTTCAGGCTGCATTTCTGACCAATTCCCTCCTAGACACAATGAGGCAAAGGTCTCCAGCAACAGATTCTAAAGAGGGGCTGGGGCAGATCTGGGCTGTTCCCCCTGAACACCCACTCTGCAATCCACTCTCCTGGAGGGCATTTTGTCCCCTTCTCAACTGGCCCGCTGCCCTAAGGCCTACTCATGGCCCGTGCTGAAGCAAGACTCAACCAGCAAGTCCTGCCAGTTTCTGCACATGGAATGGAGGAAGAGAGAAGGATTTGTTCTTCACCTCAGTCATGGATCAGCCCTGGCTGATACATGAGTGCTACATGAGAATCCCTCCACAAGGAGAGTTGCTTTCCAACATGGCATGGGATTAAGATGCCCTGAGGAACATAGGAAAATGCTGGTGGTTTTGCAACAAAACCCATAATCCAGTTGGCCAATCCCGTCTTTCAGTGATCAGGAGTAGGATACCTTCTCCTCTGCCAGTCAGCATGTCATCCTTCATGCCCTCAACCCAGACAAACATGCCCTTTATGCAATTAAGCAGTTTTAGACTTTGGATTCATTGGACCTGTAAAGACCACACGGGTGTGTGTGTGTGTCCCTGTGCAACTTCAGTGTGTACTGTGCATGACTTCACTGACATCACAATGAGGTAAACCACTCTATGCATTCAGCCAAGTTGACTCCTGCCCCTGGACCTCTGCCACCAGAGTCCTGCCCTGGCCATACTGCTGCTCTTCTGGGGGGGTGGGGTGGGGAAGCAATCTGTCACCTGAGAAGACTTAAACAATAAGGACTGGTTTCAGCAAAGCCTGAGGTCTAATCAGGTATAGCACATTTCCAAGCAATGAGAAGGGCAGCCTGCCGGTCCACCTCTTGGGTGTCACTCTGTTAAACATAAAACACTCTCTTTAATTAATATCTAGGCTTGACATGAGCCAACAAAAGCGAGGAAACACAGTGCACAGAAAACAAATCATCCTTGAAAGCAGTGGGAGGAAGCCCCACAGTGGCAGCTGGAGGCTCAACCCACATCCTGAAATAGGTATGTATTATTTTATATATATACCTTATATATATATATATATATATATATAAAGCAACTCCACTGACGTCAATTTAAAAAGAAGCAGTGGCAGAAGCAACAGCAAAAGAAAGACTGAGTATCTTGCTAGCACTGAAGTCAGATTCATTTCTTTCTGTTTTCTAGTCTGTCATACCAATGCACCAGTAAATGGGACATGAAATCCCCTTTAAGAGATTTTAGTGTCTTAGCAACCTCCATCAGCCTTTGGTTCAGTGCCTTGCCAAGGTCAGCAGCATCCTGACTTGTGAGCCTTTCACACACACCCTAAGATTTTTGCCATCCACAGCAGCAGCCCTATCATGCCCACTCATGAGAGGAAGTGTAATGCGTGAACCGGACAATCATATAATCAACAGCACCTCATGATGGTAGTAGCAGTACTTTCCTTAGCAGCCTCAATCACTGTAATTGCTGCTGGATATATCTTGCCAAGTGATTGCCCGCTCCGTACATTATTTCCTCCTTATGAGCATCTACTGAAGTTCAGTCCTTGGGACTGCGCATGTGTACGGAAAGCACAGGATGTGCGACCCTAATTATTTCACCTAGTTTAATTGCTGAGCGGAGGTAACTTCACAGAGTTTCATCTCTGGCAATAAGTAGGGAACGGAAGCAATAAAGGTCGCCATACCTCAGGAGGAAAGCCTCGCTGGGCCAAATTTGCTCACATTTTCACTAGGGGAGGAGGCATACATGGAGTAAGAGCAGGATGGAAGGAGTTTTCCAGGGCACATTTTGTCCCTTTTCAGGACAGAGGATCACCTTGATATCAAAAAAGAAACTTCAATAATCCTGAGTCGTCATCCTTGCCATAAGGACATCTTATACACCAGGCATAACATTCTGCTGACCCTCTCTCTCTCTCTCTCTCTCTCTCTCTC